TGAACAGCCGAACTGCAGAACTGCAGTCAGCTGAAGTAGCCTGCAGTGCTGCACTCTAACCACTGTGCCACCTCAGCTCTTTAGTTCCTGACTCCAGAGGGCGGTGCTCATCTCCGTTTAAAAGCCGAAGAGCCAGTGACGTCTCCGTGGTCATGTGACCAGCATGACTAAAAGCCGAAGGCGCACGGAACGCTATTCCCTTCCCACCAAAGGTGGTTCCTATTTTTCTACTTGCATTTTTTACGTGCTTTCGAGCTGTTAGGTTGGCAGACTCTGGGACAAGTCATGGGAGCTCACTCCGTTACGCGGCGCTAGGGATTCGAACCACCGAACTGCTGACCTTCTGATCGACAAGCTCAGCGTTTTAGCCACTGAGCCACCGCGTCCCTATAATAATATATTATTATTATTATTAATATTATTTAGTGGAAAGTTGAGATTTGCCGGAATAAAACAACATATAATTGCAATCTACGTAAATCTGCTAATCTGTTGACCTCGCATATAAGTTTCGGTTATCTGTCATCATTATTGTATGAACGGACGGACGTTGTTAAACTTACATGTTTTCACATGCTCACCGGGGATTGGTTGCCCAAACCCCGGGAAGTTTAAATTACTGTCATTGGCCGGCTGGGCTGCCGGAACGCCTTAATTTACATGTTTTTACATGCTCACCAGGGATTGGTTGCACAAACCCCGGGAAGTTTAAATTACTGTCATTGGCCGGCTGGGCTGCCGGAGCGCCTTAATTTACATGTTTTCACATGCTCACTGGAGATTGGTTGCCCAAACCCCGGGAAGTTTAAACTACTGTCATTGGCCGGCTGGGCTGCCGGAGCGCCTTAATTTACATGTTTTCACATGCTCACTGGGGATTGGTTGGCCAAACCCCGGGAAGTTTAAACTACTGTCATTGGTCAGCTGGGCTGCGGGAGCTCCTTAAAAGGCGAGTTCCAGCAGCCAGCAGCGCGCAGTCACTTACTCTTGCAATAAAAAGTGCTGAAACTCACTCGCGCCTCTCGCCTGCTGCTTCTCGCCGATCTGCACTGTTATTCTTCTTCGTTTTCTGTCAAAGTAAATAGAAATACAATGCTTTCCATAAGCTGGAACAGGTTTCTATTCCTTACTTTTTCCTCCAGAAAAAAATGGGGGGGGGGGGAAATACCAAAAAGAATCGAAAAACATTTAACATCTATTTTAACACACGCACACAAACACACACACACACATATTTGTAAAACACGTTCCATAAGCAACACACTTATAAAACCCGTTTTAAGAATGAAACGGGTTGCTTTTAAAAGTCTGTTTTATGCCATTGAAAAACGTCAATTTAAGGAAATAGTAATGACATCCTTCTTAATTGTTCTATCGATTTATGGCGCCTTTATGCCACTTTCTTTAGGCAAATCTCAGAGCTCGCCAATAAAAAAAGCAGTACAGCACATCCAATCCATGAAAGTTCACGATAGACGATCCATAATCAATTCGGCATCGGTAACAGCGTGAAGCAAATTAAAATAAACGGCACCTATCTACACCTCGGGAACTTAATCCTTTCTAAATCCTCAAGTGCAGGCTTAAACAGCCAGATCTTCTAAATGTATTTTTCTGATCTTAATTCTGAGGGCAAGTGATTCCTTAGGAGGAATACGCTATTTAACCAACTCAGCAGTGGTGGGTTCCTACCGATTCGGATCACTTCAACTGAACCGGTAGTGGTTTGACGGCCTGGGTCATTGGAAGTGGCAGCAACCCAGGCCTGCCCCCCCCCCCCCGAAACCGGCCACAGTTGCCGCCATCTTGTTTCTTGCTTCTGCACATGCGCAGAGCAATTTCTATTGCACTGGGCATGCGCGTGTCACAGCCATGAGCAAACCGGCAGTAGCGACTGCCGCAACTCACCCCTGCAACTCAGACGTACAATCATCAAACCGTAAACAACCACCTAATGAAGGAAGCACCAAGAACATTCCTGCCAACACGTAACAGGGCAAGCCGCTGGTATATAAACAGAGAGCCAACACCGCGCTCCTTCTAGACTGATGACGTTACCTAGTTGGGTCGTGAAATGTCTGCAAGAAAACAACCAAGCTCAGAGAGCACAAAGCATATCACCATAAACCAAGGTTCAAATCTCTTCCTGGACCGCTTGCAAGGAGTAAGGAATTCTAAGCCCAAATCTGACAAGGGAAGATTCTACTTGGGAGCAAGTGATTTTGTAGATACGTAATGACCAAAATTATGTAGGACTTTATGCAGTGGTGGGTTGCTAATTTTTTTTTTACTACCAATTCGGGGGCGCTCGCACTATGCTGCTGTGCATGCGCAAAAGCGTCCAGGCGGGTGGGCGGAGCTCCCCACCACCACAACTACCAGTTCGCCCGATATGTCACGTCCACACAGGAAGGTCCAATTAAGTTGATTTATTGCTATACAGCCTATGCTCAGAAATCTCATCAGAGAAGAAGATGTAATTAAAAAATTACTAGATTGTGTGGAAATGGATAGGTTGACATTGACGATAAAGATGTCAACTCCTAAAGTTGTCAATAAAGACGATGCAAAATACTTTCAAACATGGGATTTATCTTATCAGTGGTTGGATAATAGAAATAGAAATTAGAAAAGGGGAAAATACTATTGCGTACGTTTTATATTTAATATATTATTATTATATTATATACTATCATGTTAAGCAAATGTACCCAGATAATAGGCTGTTCATAAAGTATTAATATATGTTAAGGAAAATATATAAATACATTCTTTAAAAAATCTGCTCAATTAACAATTAGCACCTGCTTTGACTTTATCTAAGTCAATTATCTATGGTCCACAGGATTCAAGAGAGATTGGACTTTGTTTGTGACTATGTAGGAATTCTAACCTAATGCCTCTTTTTACTCCTCCCACAGTTTCTCCTCTTTCTCCTCCTCCAGTCTAGAACAGGAGGGTCAAACTCAATTTCATTGAGGGCCGCATCAGGGTTGTGTTTGGCTTTGTGGGGTGGCAGAGTGGGCATGTCCAGCACAACGTCACTCATGTAGGGGGTACCTGTGGTGGCCCAAGTCCTCTGCCAGCGGGAAAGGGCGCCCAACTTCCATTTTCGGCTGCGACGGCCTCCTGCAACCCTTTGCCAGAAAAAAATGGAGCTCCGGTGGGCCACCCACCACCCTCCTGAGCTGTTTTCGCTGGCAGAGGATGGTCCTTCACCGTTTCCAGGCCAGATCTGAACACCCCGCAGGCCAGGTCCAGCCCCCGAGCCTTGAGTTTGACACCCCTGGTTTAGAAGCAAACTGGCAATCAGTTAATCTTCCAGGACCTGACAAGACTGGGGCCTTCTTCCTTTAGTACTCAGGCTTTGCGCCAGCTAAAGTTGTGTACCCTCAAGTTCCTGTGTAGTCTTCCAGGGCAGTCCCACATCGAGTCATTTACAGTAATCCAGTCAAGGGGAGACTGGCGTGAGAAGGACCATTGCCAATACCTCTGTTCCATCGGCGAATGTCCTTTGAGGTTCAGCTTTGTCCTGTTCTACATTATCTTCACTTTCCCCCTTTTCTTCTTTCCATAGAATCGGTGGAGAACTGTCCCAGTAACTGTTACGGAAACGGGGACTGCGTTTCTGGAACCTGCCATTGTTTCCTCGGATTTTTGGGCCCCGATTGTGGACGAGGTAGAACTTAATTTCTTTTTTGTTAACTATCATTACTGACATGGAAGGATGTTCTAAATAAACTCGGGAGTGTCGTTTCAGCTCTACACGAAGTTGTGTCTCAAAGACACTTAACCAGATCAGATACAGCTGAATCTTACATGCCCTACTAAGTTTTGTTACTTTTAATCTCAGTCTGGGTGGTTTGGTGCATTGTGTGAATTCAGCCAGTCTTATTATTTCTGTTGTGGCCTGTCAGCTGCCGGCCCCTTCGGCAGCTGAATCAGAGGAGGAGGAGGAGGCGTGGGAGTCAGAGTCAGCATCAAGGCAACGAGAGAGCTCCGAAGGGGAAGACGGAATGGAGCTGGCAGAGAGAGAGAAGACAGAGGTGGGGCCAGGGCTGTCCGTCAGACTTCAGATGAAGAATCAACAGCCCCAGGTCTGGAGGTGGCTGATGAGGAAGAGGAGGAACAGCTGGGTCCAGTGTCTGATGCACAGATGCACAGAAGGCAGAGGGGAGGAGAGCAGTGGAAATCTGTGGGCCGGTCCTTGGGACAGAAAAGTCATTGCTGCTAGCGAAGCCCTACCCTAATTCTGGGGATAAAAGGCAGGGGGCGGAGATGAATAGATGTGGCAGACAACTATTCACCTTCCGTCCAGCTGGACTTGTTAGCCAGCGTTGAGAGAGATCACTCCCCTCTGGCTGCTGTGGGTAACCTGAGAGACAGCCTTGAGAAAGATATGCCTGGAATGTGCTTCTGTTTGTAGCTGATTCGTCCCATCCCTCTTGCCTATGGCAACTCGACAGCAGCCCAGGGAGGCTTTGCAAGTTGATACAAAGTCAGTGAGGAAGCCAGACTCACTTAATAACAGTGTTAACTAACTTAACAGTGATTCCCACTTGACAAGTATGGCAAGAAAGGTCGTAATAGGAGGCAAATGTCAGGCCTGCGATTATATTCCTTTTAGAATTTTGGCCTGCCACACTTTCTCTTATTTCATTATGCTGTTTCATTAGTATAGTTGATGGGAGGGGGGAGTAGACAGGAATAGGATTGCGGAATGTATTGTTATCATTCTTTTCTAGAAGCCAAGGTCATCTTTTGTCTCTGCACCTCCACACCTGATTGGAAGCATCTGGGTGGAGAC